ATCTACGATGTGGCAGTCGGCAAAGGCCAACTACAAATGCAAGCATTGGAAAATTGGAAAAAAGGGAAAGCCCAAAATAGCACGATGCCAATTGTATTTATAGACTGTTCTGTTTGTTGGAGAGTTGGACCTTCTGAAAGTCAGTTCCTTGCTCTGATTTGATTTATCTGTCATACAGTTTGTAAGAACTTTTGAAAGTGACTGGGTAATAAGTATCGTGAATATCTGCAATGTGTCCGTCATGAAACACCAACTGCTACAGTGAAATTCCGTGACTTCATAACTCGAAAGAGCCCCGAATAAACACTATGCCCTTTGTAATTTCTGGGCATTGCGTTTGCTGATGTGAATGGACTATCTGAATGAATGTCCATTCTTCCTTTACAGTCTGTTCTTTACTTTGTGGAACTGCGGGCAATTACAAGATATTTCTAGAACAATAAATAAAAGGGGCAGTGTCACACTCACCAAAGGCCTGCTGCAGATCTGATGATCGGAGAAGTCACAAGAAAAGAGAGCCTGCAGTAGAACCACGTCAGCCATTCAGAAACCTGCACAGGTGGATCTTGTTAATGTCCATGTGGTGTTCCTGTTTGCTCATTTCTCTATGGAGTTGTGGATCATGAATATCTACGATGTGTTGGTCATCAAACACCTATTTTACAGTGGAATTTTGAGATTTACCTCGAAGAGAGCCCACAATAACGCCTTGCCTGTAGTATTCTTCGCGCATTGTGTTCCTTGCAAAGGTGGATCTTGCGAACACTCATGTGCTCTTCTCTATTGCTGATTTCTTTCCGGAGTAGTGGATTGTAAATATCTCCGATGAATTCGTCATTGAGCGCCAATTGCTGCAGTGGAATTTTGAGACTGAGGTCAGATGCCCACAATAACGCTATGCCTTGTGTATTTTCCAGGCATCATGTTCTGTGCAAAGGTGGTTCTTGAAACACCCATCTGCTGTTCCCTATTGCTCGTTTCTTTCCGGAGTTGTCGATCATGAATATCTTCGACGTATTTGACATCGAGAACCAACTGCTAGATTAGAATCTCGAGACGCCACGACTAGAACCTGCAGTACCTATGCATGCTGTATCTTCCAGGCATTCTGTTCCTTGTAAACGTGGATCTTGTGAACGCCCGTGTGCTGTTCTCGTTGCTCAATTTTCCACGGAGTTGTGGATCATGAATATCTGATGTGTTCCTCATCAAGCGCAAATTGCTCGGGCGGAATGCCGAGATATCGTGACTACAGTCCGCAAAAAATATGCCTGTTGTATCTTCCAGGCATTGTGTTCCTTAAAAAGATGAATTTTCTGAACGCCTGTGAGCTGTTCCTGTTTGCTCAATTATCTGATGATTATCTTGGATGTGATTTTGTTTGTCATCAAACGTCAATTCCTACGGTGAAATCTGGAGGCATAGTAACTCAAAGGACCCGCAGGGGCGTCTGTGTATGCAGGCGTTTGGTGTGTAGCGACACCACGGACCCGAGCTAACGGGGTGGGGAGGGGTTCTCAGCAGAGCGGGATTGGCCACCCTGGTGCAGTATCTGGCGACTACCTCCAACATGCACACCTCCCACTACCTCCCACAAACCTTGTCTCGTACCTAAGGAAACATATCCTTGTCAGTCAGGAATATAGGGCCATCGATAGACAGCTTGCTGAAATGGTGTACAGATGAAAGTAAAAAAAACTGCCAATTCCGTGCCAAAGATTTGCTAGAAAGGTTAACCACATTGGTGACATCAGTGCTATTTTGAGGAGATTGACGAAAGGTTACAGTTCAATTTACATACGTTGTGGGAGAATTTCTGACGGAGTTTTTCAATGCCAGCCGCGCACCGTCTCACTTCAATTTCTTGTCTTTCTTGCCCGGAATTGTTAATCTCTTTTTTTTTTCTTCGTAATTGGCAAGCTCTTCTGTTTCTTACTGCGTCAAACTTGACTGTTTTAGCCAGCTCTGTTTTTCCTCTTTAAGTTCCGCCGCCCTACGTCTACTGTGTTGTATTACGATCTGCGTAAGTCTAGTAGATGCATCTCTTAAGATATTGCTCCGCTGCCGCTGCTCATTTTTGTTGAAGTTATTCATTGCGGGTTGTAGCTGAACAGTGAGGATGACGACAGTTATAGCGCGAAAACAAAACGACGACACAGAGACAAGAAGGACACGAAAGACACGTCGTGACATGACGTGAGCATCGTCATGCCATACCAACTAGCCCAAGCTGCCACACTTCAATGAACAGTGAGACCCTTTGGTGCGATTCCCGATGAAATATACGTTTCCCGGTTTGAAGCATGCATTTCAAACCTCACGCGCTTATTAACATTCTTTCTGAAGACCATGGAATCGCGAGACCAACATCTGCTGGAGCAGGCCGTACCTGATGGGTTGTTGAGTCAGTCCCTGCGTGGGGAAGAACACCGGCAGCCCCAGCCTGGACCCGAGTCATGTTGTAGGGGCAGTTGCTCCTTGATCTATGAGGAGTACCCTTCGGCACTCGTGGTGGTGATCGTCGGCTCTGGTTCCCGCTTGCTTCGCGATGCTGGGGAACTCACTCCGGGAAGTAAAATGTTGCCTTGGTGGGCTAGGCCGACCTATAATGGTGCATGGTCCGGCCAGGTTGATGGCGACCTCACCATATTTCGCAGGAACAGGGATTTCAGGCGGCTGGCGAAGAGGGCAACAGCTTCAAAACTTGGATGTATACCATCAGCCGCCAGAACCCGGCCAGGCGGAAGCCATTCCAAGGCGTGATCGATGTAGGAGAGAGTACCGCTTCGACGCATTTTGTTTGTTCATCTCTTGAAGAATATCCATTCATTTATTTTGAGTATGACTGGTTATACACTTTTCTGCGAGAGAGGGCAGATTTAACTCTGGATCGTGGCCAATGTTTTTCTGAGGCTAAAGCGGGTCGTATGTTTCTTGTGTGTGTGTGTGTGGCCCGACGCCACGGGCCAGCCGACGAACCACGTGATCTTTAACTCAATCCATGTGTGGGATGCGAGTAAGCGGAATATGTTTTACTTTTCCCCTTTTCCTTGGTGGCCTCCGCTGGCGGCGCCTCTTATCTACCTTTAGTTGCAATTACACCCGCTTTCAGCGGCTCGCCGTCGCCCCTTTCTTCTTGTCTGTCGCTTGCCTCGTTAGCCCGCTTTTTTCGTTTGTATCGTTTTTTTTTCTTTTTTCTTTTCATTTTCGGGGCCTCCGAACGGTCAGGGTGGCCCTCAGCTACGGGAACATTTATTCGCTTAGATGCCTCCGAAGGAGGCTGGTGCACCAGCCAAAACTGTTAGGCTATAAATAAACTACTGTTTTGCTCTCTGTATTGCACTACTCTCTATATATTATATATATGGCACAACTGGAGCGTGGTCAACAAGCATAAATATATTTATTTCCCAACAGTTTCAGGAGGAGTCCTCCCTTCGTCAGGGGATGAGTTATGCAAACATAGACGTTGCTGCCGCGTCCCTCTCAACTTGAAAGATGTTTGCGAGAAAGAGAGAAAACTAAAATGAAAACTGTGAACGCTGAGCCGGAAACCAGTCTGTGCACATCCAAATGTGGGTGTAAGTCCACATCCAGTTCTCATCGTGTGCTGGCGAGTTCTCGACGTGTGTCGGGCCCCCGAAGATTGTCGCCGCGACGGCGTGCGTAAGGAAAGAGTTTCCCTTAATGGGTCGGTGGGATAGGTGGGATAAGTGGGCAATCGATAAGAGTGATTGAAGGCGTTCGGTTTACGTACACAACACAAATTTCATTCAATAGGGCGTGTGACGTGAACACTCGAATAGTGGAAGGAAACAGAGTGCCATGTTTGCAAGATGCGAAAACCACTTCGTGATTATAGTATGTTTGCAGCAGTGAAGGTGGTGGATATCAAAACATTTACTAACCACTTTACTAACCATCGACTTTAGATTTACTGTAAACGATTGCACAAGGATGATTGGGTTGGGGCCGCGTTGTATTCCTACCTTAGAAGTGTGGCAGCTTGGGCTAGTTGGTATGGCATGACGATAGTTATAGCGCGAGAACAAAACGACGACACAGTCTTGTCTCTGTGTCGTCGTTTTGTTCTCGCGCTATAACTATCGTCATGTATTCCTACCCTCAAGGCACTTATTCCGGAGCCCGCATGGAGGGTCCCTGTAATTTAGTCCACAATGTGCGCCCGCATCGCGTGGTTGAAATGCATTCGGCCTCTGTCGGAGTGAGACCTCCGTGGTCGAGATTGAGAGTTTTGGGCAAGCAGGCGAGCTCGTTGTGTACTCTGGCACAGCGGCGTAGCAGTAAAGTCAGTTTTTCCCGCTTTTTCGCACAGTACCTTGCGCAGCTTCTCATATTCACTACATACGTTGGGGAAATCAACAGGCAACGTTAATCATGCATTGGGGAACGTACAAATAATCTAAAGGTAACTACCGTGGAGATGATGTTAGAAAGTAGCAATATGGGCTTTCTTACACAGTTTCGGATATTCTTGCTGTAAAAAGAAATGAATGATGTGAACTCCCCTTTGCACATTAGACTTTTTCGGAATTGAAACAGCCACTAACAACAACAGCAAGCCAAGCGGGTTGCGGTTACTCCGACTCGTTGCTGTTGTAAGCATTGATATGAGAGTGGTTCTACACCAGGGAACCATTATTGCGCACTACTGCTGTGGCGCGCTTTGCCGCGGCTGCGCTATGGGAAAACCATCTGCCAAGCCACCTCCGCTCTGCCTCCTCCATTACTGCTCCCTCGGATGAAGGATGTAGCGAGCGGAAGTGACATCAGCTCCTCCTCCGCATCCGGTCTCACTCATTCCACGCGAGAAACGAGAGACGACATAAAGAAAAAAAAAAAGAACGCGCGCAGCATCCTTCCTCTCCACCCATCCCCTCCCGCTATTTCGACGTCGGCGCAGCAGACGACGGCGTGGCACACGGAGCATTTGCGCGCTGCGCGTGTGTGTAGCTGGCGGCGGTGGTGGCGGTCTCTTTCAGTCGCTCTTATCCTTTCCTTTTCTTTCGTTTCTTCGGTCGGTGGTGGTGTCTGTGGAAGTGCTCCGGGAGTGTGTGTGCTCGCGTGTGGTCAGAATCTGTGGAACGATGCGGTGAATTGTAACTCGAAGAGAGCACCAGAGATGAGTTCCAACGCCATCCGGGGCATCCGACGCAAGAAATCGACGCTCTCCGAAGTGAAGATAGCCGTACTGGGAGCGTCGGGCGTAGGAAAGAGCGGTGAGTTTCGTCGGCGGGTTTAGGCTTACCCGCGAATACGCGCGCTAGATTTCGCGCTTCGGGGGGATCGCTCAACACCCTTGCACGATGATCGCGTCTGCGCGCACTCCTGATGAGTAGTAGCATAGTCTCATTAAATCTTTCGTGAAACGTGGGCAAAAAAATTAGGAAAATGCAAGTAGATTCCATGAAGCTCTAATGTTCTTTTTTTACTAGCTTGCTGTCGAAAGGTTGAGCTATGCCAGCGCAGCTACTTCATTTAGCGATCTCTATAGCGAAAACAACGAAAAAATTTATGACCACGGATGAAAACGGAACTAGCAAATATAAACAGAATACTAAAACAAGTACAAAACCAACGTTTTGGCAAGGGTGATTTCAACATGACTTTCAATATAGTGGAACGTTCAGATTGCAGCACGCGCACACATTTCTAGTTCTGCGCACGGAATAACACACATTTCCGTATATATCAGCGCATATATAGTTCATCACAACACGTGCTCATCACAAGCGCTTATCCGCGGGTGTCATCGCTAAACTCTTTCGCAGATGACATTCGGCGCGTGTACTTGGTGAGTTGAGAGGTGGGCGACTCTATATGTGCGCATATCTTTTGAGAATATTAGGTTCGGGGATTCGCTTTAAGACAAGCAGGCCGTACGTTGCAAAAACATGGTTATGACGTCATCATGTGCTACGCGAAGACAGTGTTGCGTTTGTCCCCCGTGTACATGCCATTGTGGAGTGCATTTCGCGGACTAGCCCTTCACCCGGCTAAACGCTCTTCCTATTGGCAATTATAAATTTTTTTCCCAAATGCTATCTTCAAAACGCAGCGTTGGCTTCTTCGTAAAGGTGACAGTAAGGCCGGCCTGGACCTTGATACGGATTTATTTTCGTTCGCAAAATATGAGATTCCGGTACTTCAACATCTAGAATAAAGAAACGAAAAAAAGAAAAGCTTCGGCAGAGCGCATGTGTTCTGAGAATCAGTTTCAAACGCAGCAACCGCGGGGATTAACTGTGCTTGGCACCTTTTAAGCCATGGCTTACAAGGCAGATTGGCTTCTTTGCACAATCGGAGCAACCCTGCATGTACGAGAGTCTTCCCAGGTACAGCTAATCTTTAGGAGTCTAAAAATTAGCTCACGGTGTGACGTCACACGTTCGTGACGGAAGTCATTGGTATCGAAACGTAGTGTAAGCAGTCTAGATTGGCAGTCACGAATCGTGACAGACCAAAGCTTGCAGAGTCATGGGCTAATGTGATAGCACATTGTTGTAAAGCACTGACGTGATACACTTATTCGCGATCTGTTCAAATCGGTAGCGGCAGGTATCTTCAGATTTATAAGCTGCATTGACATCGCCACCTCTAACGAGTGGCATGTCTCTATAGTGTAATCCACGCAGGGGGGCTTATAAACTTCTTCAATGCCTATTTTCGCTGTTCGGGGACTGTCAGTCGCATTTGGCGCCTACCAGCTGTGGTATGTGGGCATGCGCCACTTTTGACTCGGGAAAAAAATGTTTTATGACTAATGCGACAGGAGCATTATCCATGTGATGACCTGTCAGTTGAAAGAAGAAAATTTCCCGATGCGCTCGTTTTGTTTTTTTTTCGTTACACATAACCAAACGGATGTATTGCAGAAACCAAGAAAAGCACACGCGTTATTAATCGGCTTCACCGGGGAGTAATAGTTGTGTGAATTTATTGGAAATAATAAAGCGGGCAAAAAACACCTTTTCTGTGGGTAGCGTCCAAACACTGAACCTTCGAATTACGCGTAGACGTGCACTCATTCTTTCCTCTTCAAATTAGGTATATATACAAAATTAGGAAGGCGGCCTCAAGTGTGTCAATGAAAACATGTTATCTTTTCTCGATACTTTAGTCCACTTTTGTTTCTTCCCATCACAGTTAATTCTAATAAAATGCCCTTGGCTTAATTGTCTGTCAGTTCTCACGAATATTGGGTCTAGCAAAGAAATCAACCCTTAAATTCACACTTTCTTGCTTCATTCATAGGGATGTTCCCGTTCTGGCAGACTTCATGCCTGCAGGGGTATGCGAGGGAGTATTGGTCAGCTGCCAGCTCGTAAAAAAATGACGTGCTACGTGATGTCAACAGGCAAGAGAGAGATTGTTCCACACTCTCTGTATACTGGCTATGGGCGGCGCTGACTGGCGCTCCCGCGTTCAAGTGCACAAATATGCTGTATGAAAATAGATGGAGGGATGATCACCTCCGTAATTCGGTGGTATAGAGCATCACACGCGTTATTCGAAGGTGGCACGTTTGGTCCCTGACAGCGGCCGGAAATCTTTTCATCCGATTTTCTTTCTTCGCATCTGTATTGCAACTAATTCTAGCAACATTACTTTCTAGTGACTTTGGCATTATTGTTGTCAGTTCTCATTAACATTTGCGCTTTATGTTTTTTTTTCAAGCGTAAATGATCAGATGGGTATATATACACGACACGGTAAAATCGCGTTTGGTTCTCAAAGAAACGCTTCTCTTCTAAAAGTGGATGCATTAGTCGCGTTTCAGGAACGTAAAGCTCGCCGCGCCTTGCGTTGGGCAACGCTAGCTATTGCGCCACGAGCAGAGAGCGGAGGTTAAGAAATCGATGTTTCCAGCATGGAGCAGAGCTGGCCGGGAACCGCTTGAAAACTCCTGGGGTTCGGGCATCGGCATTGCTGCGTGGCCGCTTCGCTTTCGCCTTGTAGGTTGCGCCTTTAATTAACACTGGCTCAAGGCCAACGTTACTGACGGGTGCCTTGCAACGTTTTCCCGCTCGAGTTTTTTGGGCAGCGATGGTTCTCGTCGATGACGATGACAAACACTGATGCCTTGAAGTCCTACCTAGGGGTGTCTGATTCGATCACGTATGGGCAATCGAACACATGACGGTGCTCTAGTGGCTATGATGCCCCGATGCTAGCCGATGGTTTCGGGATCGAATCCCGCCCGAGGCGGCTGCATTATCGATGGAAGTGAAAACGGCTGAGGCCGTGGTAGTTTGGTTTAGGGACAGGTAAAACAAGAACAACCACGTGATGGAAAATTGCGGAGCCCTCCGATAAGGCGTCACGGCGCCCCTCGTAATCATAACCAACTTTTACGACGTTGAAATCTAATAACTACGTTGCATGGGCTAGAAATCAGTACGCTCTGACTAAACAATGGTAATGGGTTCTTTGTTCGGCCCAGCGCAATAAAAACAGACAAGAGAGAGAAATAGAGGGCTTGGAGGTCGGCCAGATCCGCATTGTTTCCGTGCACTGGCTGGGATACTATGAGATTGGAAATAAAGAGTGTGAAAGAGAGATGGAATAAATAATAGGGGAGAATAGCAAAAAGACCCATAAAGATGTTCCAGAACCACCTGACAAGGAAAGTGCAAGAGACTTTATTGATAAAGTTCTGTCGCTGTAGTGTAATAATCGGTAAATAAGTGGAAATGAATTGCAGTAGGTTTGACAGGCGGGCTAGTTGGTACAAATTCATAATGCAATAATTGGAAGCGCAAACCAACGGGACACAAGACCTTGTGTCTTTGTTTGTCTCTTCTCTTGTGTCCCGTTGGTTTGCGCTTCCAATGATTCAAGTGGAAATGAATTGAATTGGATGAAAATTCAACTGTTGCCGCCGGCGTTCATCAAACCTGCGGCCTTCGGATAATGCGGAAGTCCTTAAACGGGACCACCTGACGGAAATCTTGGGGGGGGAAAGGAACGGAAGACACCAAGCAGTTAGCCCAAGAAATAGCTGCAAAGCGGTGGCAGCAATCCCAAAACCCCGAGTGTAGGTGCAACGAGATTATACTAGGGAACGGGAAAGGCAACGGCGCCTGCGAGAAGGACCCGCAGTGACGGAGGGCTTATGCCAATGATGACGTGGCCGTGTCGTGTCTGCGACTATCTCTCTTTTAACTCGAAGCCCTCTCTGCGCTGATAATCAACATAAAAACAACCTATAACCGGCATTGCCAATGTAAAGTCTAGAAGCAACGCAGATGCGCAGCCGTATTAGTCTTTAAAACCGTCCAGTATGGCTGTTTAAAGGTTTTCACGGCTTGGTACAAAGCTTCATCAATTTTATCACCATTATTTTTGTAGTACACAGAGACCTGTTTTTTCACTCAACCTAACCCAACCTGATAAAATCAAGGAAGACACGCAGAAGAGATTAGCAGTCCTCACTTTGGGGCCACTTTGGTCGGTTGACTGGTGTAAACATTTGGTACATAAACAAGTCTCATACTGGAATGGTAGTGTGCTGTGGCCTCATATTGACTGCATTTTGGTGCGTCGAGTCTGTTGTTTAAAGAGCGCTATATCTTCCGGTTTACTTGAAAACCTGCATCATGTAAGCACCTTCTGTGCGTGATCATTCGCATTACGGTGTTTATTTAGATCTGGTGAGGGCTTGGCGTGAAGTGTGATTTAGATCGACGTGGAAGCCCTTTCCACGCAAGCGCACAGTTTCTTGACGACGTATTTTATTGCGTACAGACTCAATCACACTTGTGTAGAGCTCGTGGATGTAGACGCTGTTGTGTGGAGCTGCCACGTCACGTTATACCTACCATCTTCCGTTCCTGCCTGTATTATATAGTATAGCAGAAGGACTTAACCTGGCAGTGTGTCTATGTTACGAGGTATCGTTACGGCGTCAGCCTTTGCATATTTCTACAGATGGTGGCGTCTGAAGCGCCGGGCTGGGTACTCTAGACAAGTGCGAGTCCATCTGTACATATAAACGGAAACAACGCGAACAGAAGGGCGACAGAGATTGACAAAAGAACCATGATTTACGCTGTTTTTTTTTTCTTATTTCATCACTAGTATAGCCAGAGAGAATGGGATCATTAATGTCCCCCCCCCCCCCCCACCACCACCGAAAGTTTTCATTTTTTTGCGCGTGCGGACGCAAACTCACACGCTAGCGCACATGGACGAACATGCACAACGGACAGTTAAACCA